TTATGCCCAAAGTGGTGCTTTGGGTGTCTTTGTTTTTTCCTTACCCCCTTCATGAGTTTGAATACGCTCAGTACTTGATTTGGGGGTGTTTCTAGATCACTAGAGGGATTTGGTGGGATTTTAATGTGGAGACACCCTAGAAGGCAAGCAAGCTGAATGCCACTGTTTGTGGTGCGTGGCGATCCTAACATCTCTTAGACCATCTCAAAGCTGGAATCCAGTCCCCAGTCCTCTACTGAGAGCACAGCATGAGGCTTGCTTTCTGCACATGAACCCTCTCCAGAGGCATCACAATAACCTTCACTTCCTTTCCTCTCCACAGGTTGTTTGGATAATCTTCTATACTGCCATCCACTATGATTGACAGAGTCTGCAGCCTGTTAAATCAGCCATCAGTAAATCAAGAAGGTTTTAATAAATCATAGTCTTTAGTGGACTGGTGGGAAGGTGGGGGAAGTCAAATCAACTCCCTTCTGTACCAGCGGTCTGATTAGCCTGGAAGAGCCCCAACTCTTCTGCTGGAGAAGTCCATCTCCGTTTTGTATACCCATTAATTGTTGGAACTCTTATAAAGCCATTGGAATTTTTGGAAGTGGTTCAAGACTGTTCAAATTTGGAACTTTCTGTGACTCTAGCCAGTAACTCTATCAAACTCCTCTGTGCTGAAGGTTGAGTCTGTTAATTTAATGTATGTATGCCCTTCTGTTTGAAGTCTCATGAAGTCCAGACACGTCTTCCATCGTTGTCCTTTAGACAAACACTTTTTACAAAGCAGTTGTAGGATGTGTGTGAGGAAGGCGCTGGCAGCATCCAGGATGGGAGTCGTGTGGCCGTCCTTAGCATGGTTTTGTAGCGATCAGATCTGATCTGATTTAACAGGCGGTGTTGTTGCTGTTTCTAATACTTCTTTGTTTACTTGCAAATTGGTTGGCGACCAGAATTTTTAAATGGTCTTTGCTGAAGACAAGTTTTTAAGCAATTTTGCTCCAAAGAATTGTGGTTCATTTGGTTAACAGAGGTGTATTCGGGAGGCTTAGAAACTCTGCTGCATTCTGCTAGTCCGACTGCTAAGCTGCCATCACATACCTCAGAGCTTAGTGGTCTTGAAGGACAGTCATTCTGGAGATGCCCTTTTAAACGTGAAGCATTTAAATTCCCTTTTATTTTTTAAGCTCTTGAATTCAGCTGCTCCTCGTTATTAAATGGAGGAGGCTAAGACACAACTGAGGCAGCTATTATCTTAAATGCAGAATTACTAACTTGCAAATTGGGCATGGTACCTAGCCTGTGGTTTGGGAGGTGATCACCTCAGAGCTCAGTCCTTCCCTGGTCATGCCCTTTTTGTGCATCAATGGGGGAGTCTCTGCTTTAAGATATTTTTAAGGCTGTGTCTTTCAGAAATAGTCCTTGGGAAACACGCACAGTCCTTCTTGTCAGAGGACCTTGTAGTCTTGTTGCCATGTGGTCCTTGCTTTTCTAAACAACAAGCTCAGGCACCCCAAAAGCGCCCTGACCTACAGCTGCCTTATAGTGAGGAGTTGATAGTTTTAGTGTGCTCTTGCTGAAAGTCTGCATTGCTTCCTTGCTGGTGGAAGCCCAGCAGCCTGGTTCTCGTGTGAGCATGCAAAGCCAGGGATCTAAATCTCTTTTAAGTGCTAAGCCAGGACTCCAGAAGCACCCAGTGGTGAGGACTCCATTCTTACCAGGGAAAATGCTGTCTGTTCTCAGTGGAAAAAGCACACCTTAGGTCCTTGGGATGCCAAGGGAAGAGTGCAATAGCAGACAGCTTCTGCTACTTGTAAGTTGCCAATTGAAGTGATCTCAAATAAGAACTTCTATACTTTCTCCTCCCCATCCCCAAATTTATTCAGTCTTTTAATCTGATACTTTCTTTTCCTCTTCTTTCAGATGAAAGCATTAATTTCCCACATTAATTGCCTGCTAGTTCTAGGTCACCCTTTCCTACTGGCATCCGTTTGCATCTTAGCTGCTCACAGCCATCAGTAAAATCATTGTATACTTGAAATGCTCTAATAAATGTTGCCTGGTCATCCACTGTGCAGCTTCTGTATCCTCTGGTCTTCAAAGCTGGGTAAAATGGTGGGAGTGGGGGATTCCTTTTAAGAGTTTGGGTTTTGGTAAATAAACCAACAGCAATTTGGGATTCCCAGGTCTCCTGTGCTGCAGGCTTGAGTCGTGCCCTTCTAGAAGGGGCCAGAAGCATTTGTAGTGGGAGTAGTTGCTAATGCTTAGACCCATGCTTTAGGGGATGATTAAGCAGGTTAAGCCAAGTGTTGCCTCTAAGCTGTTCTGCTCCTTCGGCAGCTGTTCGTGCCCTGTGACAGGCAACCATGGCAGAGCCGCTGCTGCGCTGCAGAGGGCCCACATCTGGTCTGGAGCAGGGCTTCAAGCACTGCTGTAAAACGTGCAGAATGAGAGTGTTGCTTACCTGCCCCTTTGCTTTATTCCTCACTTGCCTGCAGTCCCAACAGCCGAGCTCCTTTACAGTTCTAGTGGCTGGAAGCTGAGGCAGAACCTGAGTTGAGAAGGATCATGACTGTGTGGAACATACGCTGGTCTCTGGATCTCCTAAAGGATCCTGGTAAGTAGGTTAGTGATAGCTGCCAGCTTTTAATCTCTAAAGGTTTCTGTTTTAGCGGGTGCCTCGTGGCTAGGGAAGCATGTATCCCCAGTGCTGAGCATCGAGACAACTAAAGCTATGGCATCTGCCGCCAAAGAAGTGAGGTTAATTTCTTTGGAGGCAGCCCATAGAGTGGAGCTGAACATCTCAGGGTGATGAGCACCATAAAAACAAGGGGGGGTTGCAGAAACTTGAGGGACAGATACAGGGATGGTCCAGCGGAACATGAAGCTGTACGAGCTGGTGGTGCTGCTCACAGGAGGAGAAGCATGGGACATTAACTGGCTCAGTGAGGGTGAGAAAGTAGGACATGTACCTTTCAGGTGACTTCACCGGAGCCAAAAAGCCCAGTACTGAATACGCTCCAAGTCCCATCACAGCAGATGTCCAGGGTACAGCAGGGCAGAGGATGGGTTTTTTGGATCTGGCAGCCAAGTGCCTGTGCCAAGCTGAGCCGGAGAGGCCAGTATCAGTGCAGGGGAGGTAATGTGCACAAGCCTGAAGGGTTTTGTTCAGCCCCAAACGAAACAACTTCCACCTCCCAGGGATTTTACCGTGGTTTTTAGGTCAGCCTCGGAAAGGAGCATAGAGGGGTAAGAAACGAGCTGCTTGAGGCAGTTTGGTTTCAGAACTGCCCATGCAAACCAGGACTGCCTCGCTGGGTGTATTGCAATCAAAACTTGCCATAAGGGCAGATGGCCGGGCACAGGGGATCCACGTTGGAAGGCCAAGCTGGCCAGGAGAGGGGACACAACCAGGCTGCTCTGTGGCAAGGCCACCGTGTCTCTTGCTGATGGTGTCCCGCTGGGTGCTGGACGCACTCCCTGCACACGGGAACTGGGGATGCTCGCTGATGGAGCCTGGAGTGAGCCGCACGGAGCTCGGACCCGCGGAGCTTCACCCGGCTGGAGCCCGCCCTCGGCGCTGGCTGCGCGGTGCAGCGGCTCACAGGGAGCCCGGTGGCCCCCCCACCTCCCCCGGCCCCGCGGGGCCTCGGCCTCGCCCCTCAGCGCCCGCCGCGGGGAGGAGCCGCGGGCCCGGCCCGGCCCAGCCCCTTCCGGCGGCGGCAGCGGCGGCCATGGCGGTGCCGGCAGCGGCTGAGGCGGGGGGAGGCCGGCAGCGGGCCCTGGCCGCCGGCTCGCCCGTGGACTACATGAGCATCACCAGCTTCCCCCGCCTGCCCGAGGAGGAGGCGGGCGGCGCGGCCGAGGGCGGCCTCCGCGCACGGAAGGAGGAGGACGCGTTCCTGGGCGAGCAGGACACGGGTGAGGGGCGGAGGCCGAGCCCGCCCGCGGCCCCCCGCATGCCCGCGGCCCCCCTCGGGCTGCGCTCCGCCCGCGGCCCCTGCCTGCCCCACGGGGCTCCCTGTCCCTGCCTGCCAAGGCCCCGCGTCCCCCCGGGCCTCGGTGACGGTGCGGGGCAGGGCAGGTGCACTGAGGCTCCGCTAAAGCCGCTGGTGCTGTGGGCCTGGAGGGAGCCCTCTGCCTGGTCTGAGTCGATCGCTGCCTTCTCCATACAGGGAACCGGTTCTGTCCCCCAGGTCGCGTTTCTCCCGGCAGCGCTGCCCTTCACCCCCTGCTCCATGACCCACGGGCAGGTCTCTGCCTCACTGACCCCAAACCCCGTGTGTGAGCCGGCCCCATGCAGCCCGTGTCCTCCACCTTGCGGCACTGGGTGAAGGTCCCAGTGCCCGTTCTTACCCCGCACCATCGGGTGCACATGCAGCTTTGCAGGAGCAGCTCTTTGATCAGCACGAGGTCTCGAGGAGCACGAGCAGGGTTTGGTGTGGTTGGGCTGTGCAGGTGTCTGCTGGAGCCCGTGCTCTCCGGCCACGTGCAGACTCGTGTTCATTGGCGCTGTGTGCCCATCGCAGAAGCCGGCTGTGCTTCTTCATGTCATGGTATCCACCAGTGGGACCAGCAGGGAGGGAACCCAGACCTTTGGTTTCTACTGCCCAGAAGAGGAAAGGAGGAAGCCCCTGTTGTGCAGTCCGTGATGGGGACAGACCCCCCCTAAAGGGACTGAGCAGCTCCACATTGCGGTGTCTGTCAGTCCTGTCCCCACACGACCTCCCTGTTGTCCCCACGCAGCACCAGTGGTCACAGAGATGAGTGACTTGCCCAGGGCCGCTGGGATGTCTGTGGCAGAGAACAAAGGGACTTTTGCATGGGTGGAAGAGCCCTCTCCCATGGTTGCTCCCTGGATGTTCATGTCCCCTCATGCAGGGCTGGCCTGTCACAGCGCTGCGGGAGCAGAGCAGTGGGACGGTGTCCTGGAGGGGTCGGGTGGAGGAGCCCAGCTCACTCCTCATTGCTTCTGCATCCACCAAGGGTGCCAGGGGCTGTACGTGACATCCCTCCCCCGTGGCACCCCAGCTCATCACCCCCAGCCAGGCCTCCCATTGTGCCCAGCTCACTTGGATCAGATGTGCTGGTGAGGGGCTCTGTGTGTACTCCGAGGTGCAGTTTGGGAAAGCTGAGCCTTTCCCAGTCATGCTCCTAAATCACTGCAGCATGAATGAGACTAAATTCACTGTGAGGGGATTCCCTGGCTGCAGGGGACCCGATCCTGCTTGCAGCATCACTGAAATTAAAACTATCTCCCTGCCTGGACCAGGAGAGCTGCACCCCAAAGGTCTCTGTAATGTCCTGGCAAGGACAGGGCTGCCTCAGCATGGTAGGGTAATGGGGGGATGCAGACTTTCCTGCTCCCTTAACCCAAAGCCAGGAAACATCCCTTGTGTGGATGTTTTCTGTCTTTTCCACTCAGTGTTCCTCTTGCTCTTCTTCCCACCACAGATATTCAGGGCACTGCAGACACCACTGGCTCTTGGCAGGACCCAGAGAATTGATCCAGGAGCTCTGGGTGATGCCCTGAGCTGCTTGGTTACATTTGGTGCCCAGCAGGGCAGGTCCCTGCTCCACGTGCCCAGCAGCTCCATGCACAGGCAGGGCACGCTCAGCCAGCACCTTCCCTGCCACAAGGGCAGCAGCTGAGGTTCAAGGCATCTTTTCAAGTAAAAGAGACTTTCCCATCCTGCTGAGCCTTGTTCGCTGTCGCTCGCTGTCGGGTGGATGCCCAGCAAACCCTGCCCCATTGTCTTTGCCTTCTTGGAGCTGCGAGCGACTTGATTCCAGAGTGGGCCTCATCAGCTGGAGGAAGCATGAAATTAAAGCAGAGCCTTCCCTGCCGTCAGAGCGGGTGGACACCCCGAGCTCTCCGGTTCGCAGGTTTGCTCCTCCCTGCCCTCCCCTTCTTCTTCAGCAGAGGTATTTGTTTCCTGCGCTCAGGCCGTGTGTTTTGCTTCACCTCTGTCCTGCTCAGGTGCTTTAGCTCTAAATAAGGCTGCTGGGTTTTCTTTTGAATGTCTTAATTTCCTCTTCTGCAGTATTGCTGCATTTTTTAGAGACCTGTTTGCAAGTCAGTGCTGTGTTAAGCGTCTCTCCAAACGGAGCAGTAACTGTGTGCCCATCACTAAAGACTGATGAATGGACTGAAATGGAGCAAAATTCAGGGGGAGTTTGTCCCTCTTAATCTCAAGGGAAGTCAGTTTGGAATAGCTAGAGCTAACGGAAGGGATCAGTAAAATGACCTAAAGCAGCATCTGACCCAGAAAGTCTCTTGAGAGCTGGGATCAATAGGGAAGGTAATAGCCTTGCTGGAAGGGGCACGGTGTAATCTTAGTGCTGGGTAAACACTGCAATAAGAGCTCCGTGTTGCTCAATAACTAACTCTTGTTTTCTCCCTGCTGCCCACAAAGACCCGGACTCCTTCCTGAAGTCTGCACGGCTCCAGCGCCTGCCCTCATCCTCATCTGAGATGGGAAGCCAGGACGTGTCTCCTCTCCAGGAGACCAGCAAGGACCCTTTCTCTGGAGACTGCAGCTGCCGGCAGGACGGGCTGACCGTCATCATCACCGCCTGCCTGACCTTCGCCACGGGCGTCACAGTGGCCCTCATCATGCAGATCTACTTTGGGGACCCTCAGGTAAGACAGAGCAGTGGCTTTGTGGTCAGGCTGTGTCTCTGGAAACGGGAAGCTCCCTAACTTTCCTCCTTGCCAGCAGTTTAGGTGAGCCCCTGGGTGCTGACTCTGCAATCCCACCCCAAACTGTCTTGAAAGGTTTTTGCTGTGGCTGGGGGTTGTGCTTGGAGAGGCAAGTGGGGCTCTTAGTGCCTGCCCCAGGCCCCAGGCAGGTCTGGGGGTGCTGCCAGCAGGAACCAGGCAGCCCAGCTGTTGTGGCTCCAGCTGTGGTTTGAGCCAGATGTGGATGCTCACTGAAAGCAATCCCTACTTAAGCAGAAGGCATCTTTCATATATCTGCGCTTGGAGAGAGTTTTATGGATCTGTATGTCCAGGCTCACCTCTGGAAGGATCCATTCAGGACCAAGCAGGGGAATAGCTGAAAACAGAGGAACCTCCTGCTGATCTGTCCCACAGACCAGTGCTAGGTTGCAGAGCAAAGGCAGCATGGCCAAGGGGTCATACCTGTGGTTGCATTAACCCCGGTGCTGGCATGAACAAAGAATAAGAACAAGCTGTGGTATGGGGGGGATGCTGCATTCCTGTTTCCAGTGACTGCACTGCTGCAGTGCACTGACAGCACACTGTCACCTACTGCTCTTGAGGATTAGCCCAACCCTGCTCTGGGGTTGTGGAGGGTAGGGTGGGATATGGTCTACCAGGTTAGCACGACTATTGAAAGCCAGCTGAGCTGATGTACACAGCTGCCCTGGTGCAGGGATGTGTCAATGGACACGTTACTCCCACTGGCATTTGGGGGCACCTTGAAATGCCCATCAGCCACAGCCATGGTGCTGGCCTCAAGCTTCAGGTCTCACAGAGCTGAAGATGTGGGTGTCCCAGCTCCCCTGCCGAGGCACAGCTCTCCTCTCCTGGCAGATATTCCACCGTGGTGCCGTGGTGACGGATGCTGCGCGCTGCACGGCGCTGGGCATAGAGGTGCTCAACACGCAGGGCTCCTCAGTAGATGCAGCCATTGCCTCGGCCCTCTGTGCTGGAGTCGTGAACCCCCACACATCAGGGATTGGTGGGTAAGTGTTGGTCCCTCACTCTTGTGCCTGTGGTTGTCCTCAAGCAGGTGGGTTCCCCACCACCTGAGATGTGCCTTCATGGTGGCCCAAGTACCAACACGTGGGACCATGTCTCTGACATCAGGTGGTGGCACCGGTCCTGTGCGCCCAGTTAACAGCAAGGGACAGAGACACCCAGGGAGGGAAAAGCTGCATCTGCCATAGTGGCAGATAAAACAAGCATCAGGCTCAAGAGGGGTGAAAAAGTGACCACAGGCTGCCAAGTCCCAGTGTGAGTGTGCCAGGAGCTTGCAATACCCGGGCTCAGTCCCAATGCTTTCAGTGACTGAGTGCTTTCCTCCACCAGCTCTGCTCCTGCTGCAGCAGGAGGCTAGGATCCGAGCCTGGCTCTGAGCAGCAGCCATGGGAGGTGTGGTGGTGAGGGGTGGCCTCATCCCAGCCCTTCTTCCCAGGGTGACATTCACATGAGCCTGGTGCTCTCAGCTCTGCAGGAGGTCTCGGGAGCATTGCATAAAGCACTGCCATCTGATAGCTTCTCCAGGCTGTGCCACCGAGTGCCGTTGTAAACCAAAACCCTGGTTTGTTGCAAAACTGCTTGGATTAAGAAAGAAAATCACAGATAGTCCCAGCCTGGCAGTAGAACAGGGCCAGGGGCCCTCTGGCCAGTCTGGCAGGGACTGATCCAGCCTTGCTGCATGCTCAGCATGGGGGCTGCCTGCTTCCCGCACCAGTCCTGCCTCTGTTGTCCTGAACTGCTGCCTGGGGAAGGGCAGCAGCATTCCCCACACCACTGCCCAGCCCTGGGTCGCTGCTGAGGCTGGTGACCTGCTACAGTGGCCCCATCACACTGGGACTGGCCCCAGCCCTAGAGGCACCCCTATTCTTCATTTTGGCTTTGTCCTGTTGCAAGGACAGCCAGTCCTGTGCCATGACCCCCATCTCGCTGCAGGGGTGGGGTGATGCTGGTCCATGACATCAGGAAGAACAGGAGCTGGGTGATCGACTTCCGTGAGGTGGCTCCCCTGGGCATCCCGCTGGAAGGGGACCTGCAGGAAGACACCAAGGTGAGGACCAGTGTCCCTGTGACCAAACCCTATAGGGGTGTAGCTGGCTGATGTCTTCAGCTCTCCTCTTTCCGCTACTCTTAGGCCAATGGGGAGATGATGAGCAAAGCATCTGATAGATCCCAGGCCCTATAGACATGGAGAGTCTAGGGAAAATGCTTCTTTGGCATGTCCCTCAGCAGCGGGGAGCTGGGAGAACAAGCATCCCAGGAAGGAGCACAATCCCATGTCATTCTGCTGAGTTATTTCTCCAAACTGGGTTGAGATCAGGATGGAATTTGTCTCTTTCCTTCTAAAAACTTTTCATTCCCTAATTTGCTGTGCTGCTACAGACCTCTTCCCCTCTCCTAAAGACCATGCAGACACTCCCAATGTCAACATGCGTTGTATCTCCTTGACTTGCAACTGGGGACCATGTCCTCATGGGAAGTTTATTCTTCCTTTTTGTCCTTCCCATTGAACAGCCAGGTCTGCTCGTCGGGGTGCCAGGCATGCTACAAGGAATGCACCAGGCGCACCAGTTACATGGGAGGTAAGACATGAGGCTGGCATGGGAGGGCTGTCCTCATGCTGCACAGGCTGTGCCCTGGGGTCCCTGTGGGGGAGCTGGAAGCACACAAGCCCTTGTCATCAGACCTTGTTCTTTGTCCTTTTTCCTTTGGCAGACTCCCATGGTCCAAGCTGCTGGGTCTTGTGGCCGGTGTTGCCCAGGATGGGTTTAATGTCACACATGATTTGGGTGAGTATCTAATGGGGAGCCAAGGGTGGCTGCTCAGCACAGGGGAGCACACTGGCCACTGCTCTTGGGTGCAAGGCAGCTGGGGATGTAGATGGCTGTTCAGGGGAAATCACAGCTCCTTGGACCTGGAGATGGATGGTGTTGGGAGCTATGGTCTGCAAGGAAGAGCTTGGCAGAAGCAAAACTGGAGCCCTTTCCTAGGACTGGTCGGGGTCAGGTCAGAGGAGTCTGTGCTGGGCAGCTGGCCAGGGACCGCCAGGAAGGGCGCTGGGTTTCTTTGAGTATTCTTCCCAGCTCTAATGGGTGCACGATCCAGCCTCCCTCTGGTTGTGAAACAGGGCAAGAGCAACAGCAAGTCTCCAGCATCCCCATCAGGCACAGTGATTCCATGTCCCCTGTGCATCCCTGCACCCTGCCTTTCCTGGATGTCCTTCCCCTTCTCGCCTGCAGCCAAAGCCGTAAGTGAACTGAAGGACCTGAACTACTCTGACAAGTTCCGGGACGTCTTCCTGCCGGCTGGGCAGCCCCTGCTGCCCGGGATGTTCATCAGGCGCCTGGACCTCGCTGCCCTCTTGGAGCTGCTGGCAGCAGAAGGGGTGTCTGCTTTCTACAGTGGGAACTTGACCCAGGAGATAATCTCTGAGGTGAGCCGTGTTTTCCCCTGCCTCTGCCCCAGACCGCACAGCACAGCCTGGGTCAGGGTGACAGCCTGGTGATAGGCCGTAGCCAAGTGTCAGCACAATGACTGGGGCTAAGGTGTGGAGCCTCCTTTTCCTCTCCTGGTCCTGCCACTGCAGTGGTCTAAGAGGCACACAGGTCACTTCCACAGCCCAGAGTGAAACCTCTATTTCCTCTGTAACCAGGACTGGTTTTTCAGAGAAAAGATATCTCAATTTCAAGCCCCCTCTGGGCTGTTTTAAGGGTTTCAGCCTTTTCCCCATAATGAGGGGTGCCCCGTGGTTGAGAAGCAAATGTTTGTTAATGGGACTGTAAGGTAAGAACTCCAAGAATATGGTTTAAAAAGAAAACTGAGCCTTGTGAGCAGAGCATCAGCCAGGCTTGGCCCCGCTTGGGCTGGCCCCAGTTTAACTCCTCTTGTTAGAGGTGCTCTTGGAAAAATAGCAGCAACCAGGTACTTATTCTGGTAAAACAAACCCAAACAACTTTCATGCCTGTGGAGCTGCAGTCAGGGTGGTTGGTGGCCCCAGTTGTCCCTACCAATGTGCTTCAAGTGATGCACCTTCAACATGTCAGTAATCTGGAATGGGTTCACTCAGTGCAGGCCTTGGATATTTGTGAGCTCCCTGTTTGGAAATTTCTTGTGGTTCACCTGGACCCCAGCAGAGGTGGAGAACCAGGAATGGGAAAAGTGGGATGGAAACCAGGAATGCACCAAGCTCATGGTGCATCCCCACAGCTAAACCCTGCTTTATCACCCTATTCCACTGACGGAAGGATGCTGCAGGGAAGCACATACTCTCTGTGGAGGAGGAAAACCCGGGGTTGAACACTGAAGCCCCTGGCCATCTCTGGGGTCAGGTGCACAATTCCAGCTTTGGTTGCAGAGCAGAGCAAAATGCTGGCTTCCCACAGTGTTCATTGCTCCAGGAAAGGGAGGGCATTGATGTGGTGAAATCAAGTAAAGCTCCAAAACACCCTGCCCTTTGTTTCCATCCTGTGGCAGGAAGGCACTGGTTCAAGAATGTGCTCTCTGGGGAATTTGAGATGGTGTCTGCAGTGTGTGGCTGAGCAGAGCTTCTCCCCTTTCTGTGCCATCAGGCTTTTCCTGCTCCACTCCCTGCCACTTTGCTGCTTTTCCACTGTCCGAGCTCCATGGAGCCTTGGGTTCAGTCTGGCCTGTTCTTTGGGACTGCTTTAGGAAGCAGGCAGGGATCCCAAGTAGGGGATACATCTTATTTTGCAGCTTTGGAGTGGTTTGATATGTTGTCCCCCACAACATAGAATGGTTTGGGCTGGAAGGGACCTTAGAGATCAGCAAGTTCCAACCCCCTTGTATTGGCTTTCCTGCTCCAGTGATTCATCCATTTCTGCCAGAGAAGGAGTTTTCTTGCCAAGTTAGCTGCCTAGTTTAGAAGCCAGAGCACGCACAGGTTCTTTGTTCTTGCCCATTTCTGGATGGAAATCCAGAGGACTCATAGCAGCAAGTCACCCCAGCAGAGCCTCTCACAGGTTGTGTGGCTTCTCCTGGGTGGAAGGAAAGAGTTGGCCCATTGTTCTGCTGGCAGAACAGGCGTTCACCTGGGCCAGCACGAGGAACACAGAAAGCCTGGGCCCAGCTTTCTCAGCATGCTCTGCTTTGCTCTCCTATGCAGGTCCACAACTACGGAGGAGTCTTGGTGGAGGAAGACTTCAGCAATTACAGTGTCACAGTGGAGAATCCCGTCCACACAGTCTATCGAGGTACACACCTGAGCCATGGCCATGCAACTCCAGCTACAAGGTTGCTTCATCTGGCAAGAGGTGGTGACAGTGTTTAAACAGAGGCACTGAGGTGTCCGCAGGAAAGCCCTCCAGGGAGTTGCCTGTTCCTGCCTGCTGACACTGATGGTCTTAGGCAGCTCAGGAGGTTTTCAGTACTTTGAAATGAGCTGACAAAGGCCAATGGTATCTTGATACCGTTAGAGTGTAAAGATGCAACATGATCATGTATGGATGCAGTGTCTAGATAGAAGCTGGGCCAAAAGCTAGTGGCTATGTCTGAAGACAGTTCCCAAAGTTGCCATTCTTTTCTAGAAATCCCTGTATTTACTCTCCTTAAAGCTGTAACATTGCAACCCCATTTTACCTCCATTCTTCCATACTATGGTTCAGAAACCAAGCAGCCAACCAGCAAGAACTGAATTTCAGATCTAAGAAAGCATCCCAATTTGGTCTTCCTTCATCCATCATAAAGAAACAGAAAGCTACAGCAAGAATGTTTTGGGAAATGCTTTTCTAATCATATTGCTTTCCATCATTTCCCCTCAAATCTGGAAGGATTTCCCTGTCCTCAAGGACGCTAGCTTGTGGGGAAGTTATCACTGGACAGTATCTGGCTAAAGCAGCTTCATTCCTCTCCTTTTCCCTTCACAGGTCATCTTGTTTTCAGTCCCCCGCCTCCACATGCAGGTCCTGCACTGATCACAGCACTGAACATCCTCGAGGGCTTTAATATCACCAGTCAAGTACCCAGGGGGAATATCTTGCACTGGATGGCAGAGGTAGGAGGAGGTTCAACATTTGGCTGAATTCCTTGTGCTGCTAGAGAATAATTGATTTATTCCTTGGTTGTACAAAAATGTTTGTAGGTAATTCCCAGAGGAGAATGAGCAAATAGACTGCTAAGGTGTAAATCTGAGCTGTGCTGCTGCCTCAGGTAGGTGCAGACGCTGGAGCCTCCTCCTCAGCTGAGCTCTTTCTTGCTTATGCAGAGCTTTTTCAGAAGAACAAACTGTGGCTTTTGCCCCTTTCTTGTACGCAGTCATCTCTTCAGAATGGCCCCACAGCAGCTGAGCCTTGTCCCATCTGTTTCCTCCACCTCCTATCTCCAGTGGCCCCAGGCATACCAGAACACTGCTGGGGCTCTTCAGGGGGCCAGCAATGTGGCAATGACAAGGAAAACTGACCCAACACTTTATATATTATTTAAATCTTTACATTTTAGCCTACCTCGTGATCTCAGTGGTCCAGATCATGATTTTTCCAGGTTTTAGGGCTGTCAGCCCTATCAAAACATTGCAGCTTCCCAGGAAGTCCAGCAAGTGCTCCATTTCCTGCTCTGTAAGCAGAGTTGTGTTCTTAGGTGCTTAACTGATCCAGAGCTGGGTCTTGTGAGTTGGGAATTTTAAGCAAGGATATAACCACATCCCTGTAGCAGGCAGACGCTTGGAAGTTACTGCCTCCCAGCAACAATGCAACAGCTGGAGGTGTTACAGGCTGTAACTGCATGTGCAGAGGCAGAGAAAGTTGACTCACCCAAGTTATTTTTGGGTTATATTCTAAAGCTTTGAATGAATGTGTGCTCTGCATTTGCACCAGGCCATGAGTTTCACCCCCTGGTTACCCAGCTGAGGGACAGCAACCTCCAGATAAAGGGCAGTGACTTCAGAAGATGTGTAACTGTGATTACTGGGGACCACATGGCTGAACACTGAGATTCAGACAGTCCAAGATGTCCTTAACCTGTGCCTATGGAGTGAACGTGGTCTGCTTATATCAGTGGAGCTCTTCCTTGGCCACCAAGCCTCTTGTACATCCTCTGCATGGCGTGGTGGTCAGGAGGCTGTTTCCTGGAAAAGGCTCCTTCTCCAGAAGTTAATCATGTTCTACACTGTACTTCAGAAGTTCATGCTTCAGGAGAAGTTGTTGATGTGTGGCACATATGAAAGCAGAAGTCACGTGTAGCTAGTGATCTGCAGGGTAATGTACTGTCTTGAATCTTGAATGACAATGGCATGAGCTGCAAGCTGAAAGTCTAGTGCATTTCTGCTAGGCACAGGCTGGCTAGATTGAAGAGAACATTTCCTCTCATGGGTGTTCTCTGGCTATGCACTGTAAAACCAGGGCTGGATAAACTGTGTCTCTTGAAATTGCATCTTCCCATTCTTAATGGACTGGCTTAGGCAGGATTCTGCATGTATGAGACACCAGACCCCTTCCTCTTTTCACACCATCATTCCCTTCAGTGTGCTGGGACTAATGCTTTCTCTACACACACTTTGGATGACTTACAACTAGGAACATGGGTAGCAGCTGGTGAGCAGAATAGCTTGTTTCTGCTCAGCAGTGATGCTGTGCCAGCAGAGCTTCTGGCCAGAGGCAACAGTGATACCTCTTCCTGTTTGAAGTATCGAAAGTTATATTTCCAGGGCCACCTAAATGTTTTTCTTCCTTTTCTCCGTTCTTTTTTCTTTCTTTCCTTCTATCTGTGTTCAATTTAGACATTAAAAATAGCCCTGAGCCTAGCTAGCAACCTGGGAGACCCATCTGATGATGTGTCCATCACTCACACTGCAGAAAGCATGATGAGGTAGGTCTGAGGCTAAGGGGCACGGTACAGTGGGAAGGTGTGTGGTTTGGATATCATTCCTGGATTTGCTCTTTGGAGTGCACAAGGAAACCTGATTTTTCCTACCTGTTTTACTGAGGACAGGTCAGTCCTTGAGCGTCCCTGTAGGGTTCACACTTCCACAAGGATCACAGCTGATGCCACAGGGCTCTGGGGATGGGTTGTGGGATGTCCTCACACAGAGGTTTCCTGGAGTCACCATGATCTGAGGGTTCCTTCCAGTTTCTCACCCCTCTAATATTCCTTCTCAGCAGGTTGGACCAACAGCAGTCCATGTGGTCACGACCACACAAGCAGTTTCTGGCTCTCCCTTCCCACCATGGGCTTGGTGCCTTTGAAGCACATGTGGGAGAGGCCAGGCCTGGGGCTTCAGCCCAGGCTCCCACCTCAGAGCCATGTGTGGCTAAAGCCACAGTTGGTGGCCAAAGCTGGGCTGGATTTACCCTCCTTCTGAGGGACTGCATTCAGCTGGGTGCTGCCACCCCTTGTTCTTCAGGGGGGAGTTTATCCTGTAGACAGCAGGGAGGTCCATGGAGTTGTCTGTGCAAACCAAGTCCTCTTGTCTTCTTCCATTGGGTGAACTGGAGGAGCTTCCTGCCCTCAGTGCTAGCCCCCTGAGAGGGACACCACCAGTACCCCAAGAGATGCTCAGCTTCCTAAGCTCATTCCTTGCTTTCCTCTTTCTCTCCCTCACTGCTGAAGTAAATTGGAAGCTAATTCCCTGCGCCAGCTGGTTAACGACTCCCAGTCCTTCTCGTCTGATGTCCATGTGCCTCACTTCTCCATGGAGAGTGGACCTGCTGCTAGCCAGGTCCTTGTCATGGGACCCGATGACTTCATTGTTGCAGTTGTAAGGTAAAGGATTTACTTCTTCCCTCTGTAATGTGCTCAGAGGGTGGGAGCAGGGAGAAGAAAGCAGGTTCAGCAGGGCAGGATGGGACTGGACCTGGGGCTCCTGGTCTGCTCTGTCCCTGTTAGTCCTGCAGCAGCAGAAATGGGGAACATGGGGTGGAGATGTGTGAGCTGGTGCTGCTCTGCCCTGTGTAATCCTGCAGCCCTCTCACAGTGAAATGTGTCTGGATTGGCCTGAATCTGATCCTGGAGAAGAGGTGGTGCCCAGATTTGAGGACTGATGGGGGCATGGAGACACATCTATCACCTATAGGGCAGTCGTTAAACACAGAGAGGAACAGAGCTGCTATCTCCCACATGGTTCTTGCTCCTAAGTACATTGAGACTCACTCCTTACACCTAGCCAGTCCTAAAGACCTACTTAACTTGGCTTTGTCAAGCCAAGATGGGACAGAAAATCAGAGCCCTGAAAGCCTTGAGGTGAACCAGAACCTCTGGGAGGGCTCTGATGAGATTTCTTCCTATTTCTTTTCAGTTCTTTGAATCGTCCCTTTGGCAGTGGGATAATGACACCCTCTGGAGTCCTCCTGAACAGCCAGATGTTGGACTTCTCCTGGCAAAATAAAACAATGAACCTCTCCATTCCTAGGCCGGTAATGAATGACATGACACATTCTTTATTTGAGCTGTCTGTACTGGGTTTTATTTCAATGTTATTCTCATCTCCACAACAGGGAGGCTGTTTAATGCCTTATTAGTAACTGAGGGACAACAGTCTGTAGAAAGCTCCTAACTTTTCATTATATGAGCCCCTGAAACAGAGTCAACAGAAGGCTTCATGTGTATCAGTTGTCATTTATAACGCAGTTATATCAAACAACGCTGCACATCTCATCTACCTATTTTCCTTGCAGTCCAGATGCAATTTAGAGCAGCCACCCTTTTCTGTGGACTCAAATTAAGGACTCCTTTTATAGCTTGGCTCTCTGTATGTTTAAAAGTAACAGAAAGCAGAAAAAAGTCTTCAGGTCTTGGAAGGAAACTATTACAGACCAATACTGGTGGCTTCCAGTGCTGCCTTGTTTCTTCTTGCCATGTATTGTAAAACCATCCCACTTTGCTGGGTTGGTACTTCAGAAGTGGGTGAATGGTTCCATATACCTTCTGGATGAGCAACATGGTGTGAACCAGGACAAATCCTGTTAACATCAGAGAGCACTGATGTCAGTGAGGATGTCAGCCTAGAGAAAACACAGAAGTGCAATTGCTAGCTGCAGCGTAAAGAGTAAGGAGTGAACCTGCACAGCTTGAGCAAAACTTGTTGAAGATTTTTGGTGTGTCCTTTCTTCAACTGCAGCACAATCTCATTCAGCCTTGGAAACGGCCCTTGTCTTTCCTCCTGCCCACCATCGTGAGGCCATCCGAGGGGATGTGTGGGACATACCTGTGTCTGGGAGCCAACAACGGGGACAGAGCCTTGAGCAGCATCGTTCAGGTCAGTGCTGCGCAGGGCCCTCTCGCACCTTTCCTGGTGGCACCGCTCATAGTTGTAGAGTAAAAGCATCTTGGCAAAGCCTGTAATAGTTTGTGGCATTCTAATACCTGTTCAAAGCTCGTCTTAAGGATCATTATGGGAAAAAAAGGAGCATTTTGTATTCAGAGAATTGCAGGAGACTCGCAGCCCTTTAAGCCCTTTTCCGAGTGAAAAGCTCCTTTTAGTGCACTCCCAATTGAATTCCTCCCTGCTCAGCACTTCTATAAATTGGGCAACTCCTCCTAATTTCTGATTTGTAATGAGGTGAAGTTCTTGCCAGTAGCTTGATTGCGTGCACAGCAGCAGTGGGTTGCTAAAAAGAAGGGCACAACAAGAATGGCTCCCATTTTCCTTACCTCTTGGAAGGCATTATTCCCAGCAAAACTAAAGCCAACCATCGCTTCCTAATGCTTTGTGTGGAGAAGTCACGTGCTGAGCTTTTGGCTGCAACAAACACGTATTTAGAGATTACATCATGTTCCAGACACACAACTCTCCTAATTTAGCAGGAAGTCTGTGACAAAAAGCCCATAGAATCCTCAAAAGCTACCATGTTTCCACCAGCAAGGTACAGCCCATATCTCAGGGGCCTCTTCATATATGCAGAGCCCTGCATTAGTTCATGCAGTTTGGTAAACGGTTCAAAATCTTCCTTCCCTGCTGCATCTGCAGATGCTGGAGCCACCAGTGATGGGACTGCTTAGGAAGTTGACTTCTCCTCTTCTCATTACTATTTTTATGATTGAGGTTCTTTTATTCTATTCCAGGTTTTGGTCAATGTTTTAACATTTAACAAGAATCTGAGTGAAAGTTTGTCACTTGGTCGCCTTCACCCCCAGCTTCAGTCCAACACCTTGCAGGTTGACAGTGAGTATGGACACTGGCTGGGTTGTCTTTAGAAAAGGAGCAGGATTTTCTTAGCACAGTGCTGCGGAAATGGGACAGCCCAGGGCTCCGCTCACCCTGTTCCAGGGTACCCAGGGTGTGCAGAGGGTTTTGGGGAAGACAACAAGCAACAACCAAGCTTCTTCAAAGCTTGGGGCACCTGCTGAGCCATGCCTCTCCCTCTTGTCTTGGGAATGCTCCCTGGCTCCTCCAACACCTCCTGCTTTCTGGTGCTTCTCCCCAGCCCCTTCCCTGTCCCAGCTCACCTCCTGGTGGCACCCTTGTCCTGTCCTTAAAACCTTTTGGCAGTCTGGTGGCACTGGGGGTATCCAAATAAACAAGACTGCAAGCACAGCTTCACCCAGACAGGTACTGAAGCTAGCGGCAGATCTTCCTGCACTGCCATAAATGATACTCTTTTGCTTTCCACTCCCTGTTCCTTAACTCCACCAGCTGGGGAGCAGGCAAAGCTTATGGCAAGGCTTGTAGCTTAACAGTGCTGGAAGCGCAGCTGACGCTTTGAAGACTGTAGTGCCATCTCTTGTCTTGGTCTATTTGGTGTTTTTCAAAAAGCCCAATATCTCACCAGAGTGAACCATAAATGAAATTCTGTTCTCATTTCACACAAAGTAGCCAAATTTTCTAGGCCTTCCTATTTCAGAGAACATCTAAAAAAGTCTGTCAAGTGTAACCTGCAGACTTGGAAACTAGAATGTAATTAAACCAAATCCAAACCTCCTGACGGTTCTCATTTGTGGGTTTGGACATTTGGCATCAACAAGATATATGTTAAAACACATCTGCAGTGTGTATAGCTTAAATAACTGTGGTGTGCCTGCTTTGTCCAGCTGCATCGCAGCTTCATGTCCTCGGGCACTTCCATTCATGCAGAAATTGCAAAACATCAAATAAACAACATAAAACCAGGAAAGCTTTTCCAGCCACCTAAGGTAGATGGCTGGAAGATGAAGAGGTATGTGAAAGGGAAGTTGGAAGGCCTATCACAAAGTCAGTCATTTGGCAGTGTTCTACTGTTGTTTGTTTTGAACCGCCTTGCATCTTATTTTGACTAATAAGTGTTAATACTATGATTTGTAACTAAGCTCTTAAGAGCAGGGACTGCCTCTTCTGTAAGAAGAATAACTCCAGTAGGTGCCAACAACATATTTTCCCCATTTTCCAAAGAGGAGGATATTCCACATCTTTAAAGGGTTTTCTGGATCCTCTCATTTCCCTCACCACACAGAGCACTGCTCAGCTCTGAGGAGCCTGTGCTGCTAGTCAGCGCAGTGGGTGATGCTCACCCATCTGGGACCCCCTGAGGAGGCTGCAGGCAGCTTCCTTCATCCTGCAGATCCCAACAGGGTTAGAACTAAGCTTTGCCTCAAAGGGAACAGTTGTTTTGGTTACAAACTCCTCTTTTAAAATCCCTACAGGTGGGTTTCCTGAAGAAGATATTGAACTTCTTGTACTGAGGGGCCATCAAGTGGATAAAGTCAAAGTGCTCTCCCTAGTTCATGGGGCCAGGAGAACCAACAGTTTCATCATTGGCCTGAAGGATCCCAGGAGCATGGATGCTGCCGGAGCCACGATATTGTAGCACCTCCCAGGCAGCGTTCACTGAACAAGGCTGAGACAAACCAACACACATGATGTGCATGTTCTGAAAGGGCCCCTTCCCCACCTGGGCTGGGAGCCCCACACACACACTGCTGAGTACTTTCTGCATTCCCCACCCAGGATGGCACTAGAGGGGTTATAGCAGCACCAACATACAGCACTCTGACTTTTATTGTTTTCTTCTCTTTTTAAATGATTTGGATGGCAAACAGCCCAGTCCTTGTCACAGCAATGCAGGAGCACACTTTTCTTTCAGCAGAGTCTTGCTAATAATACCAGGCTTTTCAAAAGCCCAATTCTAGTCAGCATCTTAATTTTAGTGAGCAACAACATCAGCGAAGGAAACAAGATCTGATGATGGTACTGTCATCTTCATCTCCCTGTCTTTCCCGAGGTCATTCTTTGCCTCTCATGGTTCAGCCCATAATTAATACAGTCTAATGTAGTGTTTATAGGTGCCTGAAGCTGGAATATTGAGGAGTCCTTTAATGCTCTGTATGGGCCAGCTGGTTTTTCCCAGCAGGCAGCCTCCTGTATTAGTTCCTTTTCTCACATCCCAGCATACCTTGAATTCTGGAAGTAACTATTTTGAATCAGACTCACTGCAGTCTGATTTTGTAACCAGAGCAGTGATTTTCAATATCTAACAACTTGTGGCCCCCCCCCCAGTATTTTTCTTACAGAGGTTCAAGCTTCCTCCATGGTGAATTTAAGATTAGTGGTAATGGGCTTAATTTTCTTAGATATGTTTTGGAGACATCTTAGCAGTAAGTACTCAACAGACCTGTAAAAATTAAAAGACCATGGACTGAAAGCCACATGGAGAGAGTTTGGAGAGGCTCAGGGCTTTCCTTACACTGCCTTGTTCTCAGTCTGCCCTGAAAGCCTGAATGGTGTAATCCCTATGGAGAGGCTTGGGATTTTCTGCTTACTAAATTCATGCCTGTACTTCAGCTCCGTACTTTGATACTGGTGCCTCCATTGGAAAAGCTCAAGAGTGAGAGAAAAGGTACAAACCACACGCTACTGAGAGAGTTTTCTGTCCACAGCATGTAGTGCAAAACACAAGAATACTTCTGCATTTCTTGTCTGAAATAGAGTGAGGAAATAATACCACATCTGACAGCTGAACTGCTTCGTTCGTCCCACATTTGGACATTTCCTTCTTTTTTTACTAGCAAGTCAGAGACAAGTGACACTAAATTCTGGAATTTGATCATTTTCTGTGGTCTAAAATTTGATTATTTCCTTCATGGTGAAAATGCATATATATATATATGTACCTATGTCTGCGTATGGTTGTCTTGGTCTGTCATTCGATGATTACACCTCCCCCTGAGGGAGCCCATAGCACCCATCAGGTTGTACCACACCTCCTGACACTCATTGCCATTTGACATGGGCAGTGTGTGGGTCACTTTGGGGCAGTGAGAGCACTATGGCAGATAACTGGACTAATTGCACCTGCCAGCTGAGAATCTCAAAGCATCTTACGTGAAGCCCTGCACGTTGCACTGAGGGAGGACAGAGATGCTTTTATGCTCCACTGAAGTGCAGCCACCCGTGAGAAGAGCACAGCAGCAGATGGGATCAATGGTATTTTCTGTTATAAATGAGTCAGTGGCCTCAGCTGAGAGATGGGGAAGTACAGTGTTGTCTTTGGGAAGTTGCCTTCTATACCACCACACTGCCCGTGGGGCAAGACAAGACTTTCTTCACCATAGGGACATCAAATCTGTTTGGCTTTCTGTCATCAGCACTAGAGTTGGTCACTGCCCAAAGCTGTAATGTTCATGAAACTTCATGTGTCTTGGAGCAGACCTCTTCAGGTTTCATGGGAAGGGAAGGATGCAGTTTTGTGCATTGAATCTCACTGGTGGGAGTCGGGGGGTTTCTGGTACAGTACAGCAGTGATCTGTCCCTTAGGCACGGAGGTTTGCTGTGCACAAATAGGTGGTCAAGTCATCATCACTGCAGTACTTTGCATGGAACCTCACAAAACACTTTGAAAGATAAAATTCCTCCTTATTAACTGAATTCACCAACTCACTCCTGATGTGGGAATCTGAGTATTGATTTGGGAGTTAAAGACAGTGGCTGTGATTCAAAAGGGCACTTATACACCCCAAGGAAGAATTTCACAGCAATTACTGAGAACCTTGAAATAAAGCATGTTCCAGAGTGCTCTGCTGGGTCATGGCCTATGTGGCAAAAAAGAGAAGATTTAAAGGAATTGGAAGATGGGACTTGGGCCCCTAGGTCATGGCTGAGAGAGGTAAAGATATTTTGAATGAATTCCCATTTTCTCAGTTTAAAAACAGCATCAGTATAGCACAGATGTATTTGTAACAGAAACCTGTAATCTGCTAATTGGCCCAGTGTCTCTGATACTTTGTGTCCATCTGTTGTGATGAGATCGGATGGGTTTAATGTGAGGTACCAAGAAATACCTGATTATACAGTACAGGTGAGCCTAACATTGTGAAATAAAAGGCCATATTCTGGAGATGCATGTGTGCACAGTAACTGTGTTGATTTCAGCCTGGCTGTTGCAGTGTGAGCTCAGTTTGCCAGTATTTTCACAAAGACACGGTGCCATTCATGAGCACAGGTAACAAGGAAAGCTTCACTAGATACTGCTGCTCCCCTGGCTGCATCCAGCACTGAGTGCTGTGTATAAATGCCTAAAGGGGAGGATGAGGCAGAAGCACTGCCACCCTGCACTAGTGGGGATGAGGATGCTCTGGCCCCTCGGTTGTGCCGTTCAGGTTCAGGTCCCCGGTGTTCAGGGATGACGACCACTGTCCCACAGCTCTGCTGCAGCTCTGCCAGTGTCTCTCTGAGAGGTCCCTCAGCTGGGGTGGCACACTCAAAAGCACCCGTTCAGCATCAGCCAGGCTGCTAGGGCAGCTGGACCCTATGGTGGCTGCTGTGTCCCTCTGGCTGGACCATCTTGGAGCCTCCTTCCACAACCCAGCAGGCTGCCATGGACTCATCCCAGACACTGATGTGTTGGAGAGAAATGGGAGTCAGGCCTTGGTAAACACCGTGAGAGGAAACCTGCATCTCTTTCGTGAACACATCAAAACCACTGACGATTTTGTAAGGCTTTGGAAAGGATCAGGTGGAGTGGGAAGAGCTCCTGTAGCACCCAGGTATTTTCCTCACAGCAGTTTCGGAAAGCTCTTCCATACTTCAGTGACGGACATCCGCCCGCAGGCCAGAGAAAGGAGAGCTCCAACAGGCAGAGCTGGGTTTTGGAGAGGCAGGGGACTGTCTAAAAGTGGGCAGAGGGCAGAAGAGCCCGTGGAGTCGGAGCACAGGAGCACCACAATGCGCTGCCCAGGAAGGGCCCTCCAGTGGCCACAACGTTATCAGCTGCAGTTCAACGAAATCCCGGATCAGAAGTGATTGTGACTGCAATGCAACAGGTCCCCCTTCCTTCGCTGTAAGTGAGCATTGTCACAGTATTAGAGGAGAACTTACCTTGTTTGAGTCATTGTATAATATTTGAATTTGGAAAACCCTGAAGCTGGTCATGAGTCTACCAACCTTTTCTGTACGATACCTTCCTTTTGAACAGGCTGTCAAATGAAAATACACATAAATACAACCACAGTTTTGGTTGTCCAATCTCAGATGTTCTGTTTGTGGATGGGAGTCCAGTCTCTGTTCTGTTTGTGGATGATGAAGCAACTCAAACAGTTCTCTGTGTGTTGCACACAGCCCTCCTTCTCTTTGGGTGGCATTGCATTAGGGTGTCATTCATTTTGCAGCAAAGCTTAGGAATCCAAACCAAATCTGGGTCTCTGGGTCTGCTCATGGAGGCGCTCCACAAACACAGAATGAAGGGAAAGATCGACACCCCCCCCCCCCCCCCCAATCTCATCTTGATTACGGTGTACAAAGGCCCTCAAGACCTAGAAATGTTTAAGCTACACAGGACGGACCCAGGCTCTGCAGGAAAACCCCTAAGGATGACCTTGCAAAACACACAGCAGCACTGATGGGAAACACGGGGATTTTCTGGAAGCCACATTCAGATCTAACTGTGCCAGAGCGGGAAACACAGGAGGCTTTTGGGGAAAGCAGGAGGAGTAGGAAGCTGAATGCATCTAGGTACAGAAATGGCTCCTGAAATAGAGGAAAGCACGCAGGGAAGGAGGGGAGAAAGGTAATTCCCAGGTACTGAAGAGCTATTCACTTGGCTTCCTGTGTTTCCAGCCTGTCTCTGATGGGAACAGCTTAAGGCCGAGTGGGGAATATCCACACTGATGCAGACAGCAACTCCCCGACAGACAGTCGGATATGGGGAATGTTCCTCATTACCACCCCTGCGACTGACACCCCATCACCTTCTCTGACTTCTCTGCGGGTCTCCTGGGGTCCGGGGAAGGGCTTTTCTCCCATCCATAATGCAATAGGGAGGTGTTGGCAGTGGGGTCCCTGCCCCAGAAACTGGGGAAGAGCAGGAAAAGGCTCCAAGGGAATGATCCTTTGGTGAAGAGCAGCTCAGTGCTCATCTGCCAGCAGGGAGCTTTAGAGCTGCAAATGCAGAGGAAACACGCAATCTGCTCACAGCTTCCCACACACCAACAGCATTTAATTATCAAGATAAGTCATATACTAACCATGATGTTCATTGTTTTGGGTCTTTTTATGGAATGCATTGCTATGTCAGTTTACGAAAGGAGATTTTGTGTGTGTGGTGAGCTGTAGTGACAAATGAGCCGTGGGATCATCGTATTGATGATAGAGGTTTACAGAATAAAACCCCATTTTCCTCTTTCTGCATTGCTCATCCCACAGTGATGTGCGATGAACGCCCAGGCTGGCTGGGAGGGCTGGAGCCACCAGAACTGACCCATAAGGTATTTCTGCAGGACGAAAGCCTTTATTTTCCCCACAAAGGACTCTTGGTTCTCTTACCAAGCATTGCCATGTGTGCATTGTCCTTAACCACTGCCAGGTAACAGGTTTCTGCCGAAAGCAGGGAGGAAAACGGACATTTGTGCAGTGGCACCACCTTTGCATGCTCATTTATTGCTTCTTGTATTAATAAAGGCTTGTGGGAAGAGGTGAGCCGAGGGTTCTGTGCCCTGTTCTGGGGGGGACACCCCGTGTGCCGAGGGGGTCTCTAGGCAGCAAGCACTGCCCACTGGGCCTGTGTGGTAACCAGGTAAAGAGGCTTTGAATTAAAGCCGGTCCCTCTCCGGCTTCTTTCCCACCTCCCCAGCGCAGCACAAAGCGCAGTCTCATTCACTGATCCTTACGAAGCCCGAGCCCTCCTTCCAGAGTTCCTCTGGTAAAACTCCTCTGAATTACGAACCTCTTTCCCCAGCAATTTCCTATAAACGCTTTAATTACTGTTTTGTGTGGAACTCCGTCCAGGAAACGCTCTTTATTCGCTACGGAAGCGCCCGCTCGCTCCGCAGCCCCTGGGGCTCTCCTCAGGCGGGAGGACCGGCCCGACCCCGCTCCCACTCCCACCCGTGCGGGAAGGAGGGTCCAGCGGGGCCGCTCCCGGGGCGGGCCCAAGGGGCGCTCCCCGCCGAGGGGCTGCGCGGCCCCGGTACCGGGAGCCGGTGCCCGGGGAAGGGCTCACATCAACCCCCCCCCCCCGCCCCTCACGGCTCCCCGGCTCTGCGCGCTCGGACGCAGGCGCGCGCGGGCGGCGCGGGTCACGTGCCGCGGCGGCGGAGGGAGGCGGCGGCGGAGCGGCGCTGGGTGTCCCGGTGTCCCCGGGCCGAGCGCGACACCCCCCCCCCCCCCCTCCCCGCGCCTGCCCACCCGCGACACCGACCCCGCGGGCCCCGCTCGCCGAGGCGGCCCCGCGCTCCTCGCGGCGGTCGTGGCGGAGGCGGCGGCAGCGGCAGCGGCAGCAGCGGCGGCGGCAGCGCCAGGTGAGGGCGGGGCGGGCTCTCGGCGGGGCCTTTCCGCCGGCCCAGGGGGCGCGGGGACCCGGCGGCGGCGGGCGTGACAGAAACGGAGGGGCGGAAGCGGCGCCCCGGCGGAGCCAGGGCTGGCGGCGGCCCGGGCACGGAGCAGGCCGGGCGGCGCGGCGGGAAGGGGCAGGCGGGCCTGGCCGGGGAGCGGAGCGGGCTGTGGCCGGGATGCCAGGCCGCGGGGAGCTGCGGGCTGCCGGGGCCCGCGGGGAGCATGTCAGCGGGCAGCGGGGGCCGCGGCCTGGGCCCCAGTGCCCCGTGAGCCCGCCCGGCCGCGGCCTGCAGCCTGCCCCCGCCTGCTGGACGGAGCTGCCCCGCCGAGGGCTGCGGGACCCGTCCCGGTTCTCCCGGCGTTTGGATCGCGGCCTTTGCCGCGACCTGTTAGAGCGTGAGACAGGCCCGCGGTCGAGGAGAGGGGCGCTGGGCCGCCGTGCTGAGGGCAGCGCTCGGTTCCCGGGGAGGGCAGCGCTGCCGGGCCGGCCGCGGGCAGCCACCGGGGGCCTGTCAGCAGCGGGAGCGTCTTTGGGCTTAGGACGGTGTTTCTGATTGTAGTTTCTCAGCCCTGACCTCACGCGGGCGTTTGACGTCTTTGTACGATGTCAGCGACAACGCGTTGACGTTTCCCTGAAGCCAGGCTTTTGTTTGAGTTCCTCGGTGGCTCTGAAGCAGCCGGAGGAAGGCTGCTCACCTCGTCCCTTCGGCTTGATTTCTGCACCTACTTCTAGAGCCCCTCGGGGTTCCGATTCCTTCAGCGAGTGGGAAGCCGGGAGCTTTTTTGTCGCTGCCTCGGTGTGGTTCTGAAAGCTGCGAGCTGTAGCGTCGTAATGAGCTTTGTCTGGTCATAACCCTTCAGCTTCCGCACACGCACGCCTGTGCTCGTTCCCCGAGCTGAGAACTGCACCAAATCCTGTCTCATTTGAATTTTATTAGAGGACAACCAGTGCCTCTCGTTGGTGTTTGTAGTTAATGTGTGTCGTAGGCTTTCTGCCTGGTTCGTTAGCTAATGCATCTTCCAGTGTTTCCGTAGGAGAAAACAAGCTCAAGAGAACACACTTTGCTTATTCCTAAAAGGTCGCCAAGCACAATAACCACGAGTTTTTGGCTTTAGCAGCTCTTTTCCAGTTGCAGGAAGCGTTCCTGGCTTTTTTGTGTGTCTGGTGGGGAGAGCAACAAAGGTCTCAAGGCACATGTCCAGAGTGGTGGGGTTGACAAGCCTCAGGATTAAGGGAGCTACCTGCAAGAAATCTGGAGACGGATTTTGGCAAAGGCCTGTAGGGACAGGACAAGGGGGAATGGCTTTAAGATGACAGAGGGGAGATTTAGATTAGATATTAAGAAGAAATTCTTCCCTGTGAGGGTGCTGAGGCGCTGGCACAGGGTACCCAGAGAAGCTGTGCCTGCCCCATTCCTGGCAGCATTCAAGGCCAGGTTGGACACAGGAGCTTGGAGCAGCCTGCTCTAGCAGAAGGTGTCCCTGCTTGTGGCAGAGGGTTGAAACTGAATGAGCATTAAGGTCCTTTCTGTTTCTGTAATTTGGACCTATGGAAAGGTATTCCATTAG